ACCGAAAACAGATCTATGTTTCAAAAGGATTTCCCCAGCTGTCATATGGAGATGAGGCCATCAGAGGCCAAGTGTAAAAGTAGAAAAACCAGTCAGGTGACAACTGCAAGACCCAGGTGTTGAAGACAATGGCTTGGGGTAAAATGGGAGCGGAAAAGGTAGTGAGACCTGTTTGGATCCTTGGATACATTGTGAGGGTGGAGTCGACAGAATTTGCTGAAGGCTCAGATGTGGGTGTGAGAGAGAGGATGACGCCAAGGTTTTAGGTGCAAACGGCCAGAGCGATGGAGCTGCCATTTGCTGAGATGGGTTCAAAGGGATAGTCACCAGGTCTCATGCATCCTCAAAAAAAAACAAAAAAAAAAATCGAGATTTTTCTGTCAACATCAATAACATTGTTCAAATGTTGAGTCTTCTCTCAGCTTCTACCAGCTTAACAGAGTGATCATTAAAAGCGAAGTCCCAGTTCTCCCAACACTGTCTGAGATTTTTATGTATTCGACACCTCACCCCTTGATTAAGTCCCAGAAATTGTTTCATTATCGTGTTTCTTCGGTCACCTTAAATTTTATTAATATCTGCTTCACAGAGCTCTGACCAACTTCTGGGATTCGGTGAATGTATTCACTTTTCCACTTTTGTCAGCAAACAACAAATATATTTTTATAAAATTTAACACCCCAATACGTTCCGCACACCTCCATCACCCCTCTCCCAGAACTGATACTCATCCTGTCAGCTTTCAGATGGTGTATACCACACACTCTCTCACAATGACACCTCTGTTTCAACAGTCTCTTAACTGGATTTTATGAGTTCAATCACGTTTTATGTATCGTTCGGTACCTACTGTTATGCACCATTGGGTACATTATTATTAGCTTTAATGACTGAAATATTTCTTTCTTGTAAAGCCAAATGAAGTATTAACCTCCCTATTACAACTGCATTTATTAAAGCCAAATCTTAAAAAGAAAAAAAAAAAACCTTTATTTTCTAAGTGCTTACTCACGCCTTTCTCACAATTTTTATTGAGAATAATTTATAAGACAACATGATCTCCAAGCTGCTTTTGTAGCTCCAGCCCTGCCGGATCCAAGCCCTCCTCCAATCCCCTCTTTAGGTGCCTTTGGTTTATTCTTTCTGTATTTATTGGATGCTTGGTGGCAAATATATAAAGTTTTGAGAAAAAGGTTTAAAGTGATTCATTGAAGTTATGTCTTTTTTTGAATCATCCAATGTTTGTTAGACTGGAATGATACCATATTAAAACATCCAGAAAGTTTTTGTAAATTTTGCCCGAAACTCCAGACTTAACTAAATATCTGTACAAAATCCAAGAAGGTTTTCACACAAATATTTTTCCATTGAAATGACATTTCTAAATACCACCAGACCATCACAAACATCAATTCGGCCATATTTTAGATTAAATAAATTTAACTGCATTTTTACTTTCTTCAGATTTTATTTCCGATGTTGCTCTAAAATAAACCACACAGCCTCATGGGGTCCACAACAAATCTTAAACTGCCTTCGAAGTCTTGAGTTTCACTTTTTATATAAATTACGGAAGCAATTTTAATGACACCTTGGAAGCGTCATTGATAATGGTTGAAATTGTGCTGACTTCACGTGGTTTTTGCCAAGTTGTCATCTCTTTTCAGTAAATGGGTTTTGCCACAGTAGATCCATGAGTCCGGCTGGCAAAGTGATGGACTCTG